CTATCACCCTTTGTCATGCCTTGTCCAGGAAGTCCTCATAATTTTTATGCCCTTAGATTTCTGTGAAGCATCTTTGTTGGAGTGTTTTGGGGTCTCTGTGATTGGCCAGGAAATCTTAGCTGAATTAGAGGCTTGGCTAGGCATGGTGGTTCACGCCTGTAATCCCAGAAACTTGGGAGGCCGAATTGGGTGGATCGCTTGAGTCCAGGAGTTTGAGACCAGCCTGGCAAAATGGTGAAACCCTGTCTCTACCAAAAATACAAAAAAATATGCTGAGCACAGTGGCACGTGCCTGTAGTCCCAACTGCTTGAGAGGCTGAGGCAGGAGGTTCCCTTGAGCCCAGGAGGTCGAGGCTGCAGTGACCTTAGATAGTGCCATTGCACTCCAGCCTGGGTGACAGGAGTGAGTGAAACTCTGTCTCAAAAAAAAAAAAAAAAAAAATTAGAGGCTTTAATTCATCACTGTGTGGCATAACGAAAAGCATATGCAGGCTTTAGAGTTGACACACGTGGGTCTGGTCTGGCCTCCATTGTTTATTACAGTGGTTCTTCAACTTGGCCTCACGTTGGACTTAGCTGAGGAGATTTATAAGCAATATTTATGTTGGGTACCACTTCAGAGATGGTGACCTAATTGGCCTGGGGTGGCCTAGGCATGTGGACTTTTAACAACTTCCCCAGGTGATTCTAGTTTGAGACTCACCGAATATGTGATTGTGAGTTTACTTAATGGTTCTAAGCCTGAAGTTTCCTCATATGTAAAATGGGTATAATCACATCTCTCTTACAGCAGCACTGTGAGGATCATAGTTAACGTGAGATGCCTAAATGAGATGATTTCAGGGGAGCTGGAAGGGCCCCTACTTCTCAAACCCCAGTATACTTTGCCATACTGCCTCTTCCACCGCCACCATCGGGCCCCCTAACAACTTCCCCAGTTATTCTGGCTCATCACCACTCCTTTGAGGGAATATCTTTTGAACTGATGAAAGGACATCTGCTGGCTGTTGACCTCCTTCTCGTCTCCACCTATGGATCCAGCATGGTTCACACACCTGGCAAGAGGTATTTTAGAGACAAAGAACATAAAGTTCTTGCACTAAGACCAGGATTGGCCCATGACTGTGCTAGAGACTATGCCCTGGTTGCTGTCTGCATCTCCCCAGTGTGGCTGGCCTTTCTGCCCACTTCCTTGAGTGATGATCCTGTTCACCATCCTCTCCAACACATCAGCCGATTCGACCATTATTTAGCCGGTCCAGAGTTCACGTTCCTGTTTGCAACACCAAAGCCTTTTAACCTTTTGGCATGCTCCTCTCATGAAGCCTTCCCTTAGCCCTCAGTTTGAGATGTACTATCCTTACAGTGAAGTGTCTGGCATGCACTTTTCGGTGCTAGAGTCTACCAAATCATCATTTATGCACTTGTCTCATCTCCCCTGTTCAACTAAAAGCATCAGGAAATCAGGGACTATCCATCTCCCCAGCACGTAGAACTGTTAGTATATGTGTGGGCGCTCAGGATGTGTTGACTGAGTGAATGAAAGAAAGATCCCTTATATACTTACAGTGTGTCCCTTCAATGAAACAACCCAATTACATGAACAAGCTGAAGTCTGAAGTCCTGTGTTCCGAGCTGGACTTTGAGTTCTCTAACTGTAGGTGCTGGGTTCTTATTTCTTTACGTTCCTCATGGCATCTGGCACAATACTTGGCCAACAATAAGTGCTCAGTGAGCACTTCTTATCCTATTACGGAGTGGAGATGTGAATGCAAAAGAGCCAAAGGAATGACCCCAAACCACTTAGTGGCCTCAACAGAGATGGACAAGGGCCAGACTTTGCTGATTAGGGCAGTGGTATCTTAGGGGAATGTGCATACCCTAACAAGATCCATTGGGTCTGAGAAGAACATTTTAGAACTTCTATATCTTTATTTAAATTTAAAAATAATTAAGCTTTATACAGAGTAATATAATGGACTTTGGAGACTCAGAAGCAGGGAGGGTAGGAAAGGGATGAGGGATAAAAAAAACTACAGATTGGATCCAGTGTACATTACTTGGGTGATGGGTGCACTATAACATCTCAGACTTCACCACCATACAATTTTTTTTTTTTTTTGAGACGGAGTCTTGCTCTGTTGCCCAGGCTACAGTGCAGTGGCCGGACCTCGGCTCACTGCAAGCTCCGCCTCCTGGGTTTACACCATTCTCCTGCCTCAGCCTCCCGAGTAGCTGGGACTACAGGCGCCCGCCACCTCGCCTGGCTAGTTTTTTGTATATTTTAGTAGAGACAGGGTTTCACCGTGTTAGCCAGGATGGTCTCGATCTTCTGACCTCGTGATCCGCCCGTCTCGGCCTCCCAAAGTGCTGGGATTACAGGCTTGAGCCACCGCGCCTGGCCCACCACTATACAATTTATCTATATAACCAAAAACCACTTACATCCCCAAAAGCTATTGAAATAAAAAAACTTTTTAAGAAAAATAATTATGCTTTATTGAGTTCTATATTGATGGTTATGGACCCTTCATTTGATCTGCGTGGAACATGTGAGAGGGCCACTGTCACCCTCACTGGCTTGTTTTCGTTCAGTATATTAAAAATAATCTCAGCTGGCATGGTGGCTCATGCCTGTAATCCCAGCACTTTGGAAGGCTGAGGCGGGAGGATCACCTGAGGTCAGGAGTTTGAGACCAGCCTGACCAACATGGTGAAACCCCTTCTCTACTAAAAATATAGAAATTAGCCAGGCGTGGTGGCAAGCACGTGTAATCCCAGCTACTCAGGAGGCTGAGGCAGGAGAATTGCTTGAACCCAGGAGGCAGAGGTTGCAGTGAGTGAAGATCGCACCATTGCACTCCAGCCTGGGTGACAGAGCGAGACTCCATCTTCAAAAAAAAAAAATCTTGAGCAGTTTACATATACCTGTGGATTTATGAATTTTATTGTCTAGTTTGTCTAGTTTACTACATACAGCATAGATAAGTGGCTTAAAAATTCTTCCAGAGAAACAGGAATTGAAATGATTATTGATGATGTAAGCACAAGAGAACAGCTAGAAATTGGCAGAAGTGACCCTTCTCCCAGGCTGGTACGCCATGTTGGTTAGCCAGATGACAAGAGAAATACAATGGTGGTCTAACAAGAACAAGCACAATAGTAATCTGACAAAGACATGCCATAAATTTTTGAAATAGTCAACAAGACTCTAAGAAATGTGGATTTATATTCATTGTCATTGTTGTATTAACCAAATCCTATATGGACACTATGTCTTGAAGAATTAATCCAATGGTGTTTGAAGGATTAATGACTTTTGAAGATTTTTAATTTCATTTTACCTCATCTTTTGAAATTTCTGTTTTTGTATTTATTAAAAATATTCCTAATATATTAGTCTATTAGTATATCTCTGTAGAAATTAAACATCCATGTATTGGGTATGTATGCTGAAAAATAGTTTACTAGTAGGAGCGCATGTCCACTGTCAGAATGTCATACAAATGAGAGTGTGGTTTGTTCTTGATGGGCTTTTAGTGTCGTCATGTCATACTACTCTCACATGATTGACCAGAAAGCCATTTCAGGAATGTGTGTTATTAGTCACCATGGTAATGGCACAGCTGGGAGGGGAATGGATCATTAAAAATCCATCATCACTATTGGGTTAGAAATTAACTCAGATCACACATTCTTATGAGGTCAGGTCATCTTTTGCTTATAGAAAAAGGCAACCCTTAAAATGTAACGTATTTTTAAAGATATGTATTATAGGCATTACATGAGCTTATTCATACATTTGGAAGTGAAAGACAAAACCCCAGAAATATATTTGTCAAGCATTTTGTTATTTATTTGAACCCTACAACAACCCTGTAAGGTGGGGATGATCCTCATTGTATGACAAGGAAAGATAAAATCACAGACCTTGAGTGACTTGTCCAAACTCACATATTTAGTAAGTATAGAATGAGGGTGCAAAATTAGATAATTGGTATTAGCCAATATTTAGCTGTTAGTTTCCAAAGGCAAAGAATACATAGGCATGGTATCAAGTCACCTAATCCAGTAAGTCCTCACTTAACATCATCGATAGGTTCTTGGAAACTGTGACTTTAAGCAAAATGACAGATAATGAAATCAGTTTTACCATAGGCTAATTGATGTAAACAAGAGTTAAGTTTCTATGACATATTCCTGCTCACAAAAACATCATCAAACTTCTAAATAAAGACCAAAACACGTCTAATATTGAACACTGAATCCATGTGAGCCATGCATACATTTAAGAAAGATGAATAAAAGTAAGTAAGATGATTATTAACCCAGTTATTCTAGTTCAGGGTTGCAGGTGCTGGAGCCTATCTAGGCAGCTCAGGGCAGCAGGCGGGAACCAGCCCTGGCTAGGACGCCATCCTGTCGCAGGGTGCAGTCACACACACACCATGCTCGCTCACACTGGGAATGTGTAGACACGCCGATTAACCTAACAGGCACATCTTTGAGATGTGGGAGGAAACATCAGTACCTAGAGAAAACCTGTGCAGACTTGGAGAGACTGTGCAAACTCTACACAGACAGTGACCCTGGCCCAGAGTGGGTTTTTTTCTTATCAACTGTATAACAAAAGAATGTTGAATGAAATGATGCTATTTGAGGATCTGCTGTAATTTGAAGGTACTCACAATTTCCAGACATGAAAGGCTGTGTAACAGCGGACTTTATACCCTGAGAGTGAAAGCAAAATGTTCACTCTGAGGGCTGGGGCTGGAATCTTTCCTTCATCTATCTCTGTTGGGTGGTGAAAAGCAAGCCAATTTTGGTTGTGCTTATTGACATTTATCATCTTATGTCATTTCTCAAGTGAAAGTTCTGCATTTTTGTATGAGTAAGAGGTCCCTTGGTGGAGCTTTGCCAACCGTTTTTCTCAAGGTGTTCTGCAGAGCATCAGATATTGACCTAAAATACAATAAATGGGCATCTCTCTCTGTTAACAGGACCATTGCCAACTATTTGGTGTGGAGAATGGTTTATTCCAGAATTCCAAACCTTAGCAGGCGCTTTCAGTATAGATGGCTGGAATTCTCAAGGGTAAGTTTAAGAAGATTGCAATGTTACATCGCTGGATAACTTTACATGCTAGAATCGTCCATATATTAACTGATCCAATAAAAATCATCTTCAGGGATTAGACAGGGCGTTTGTAGCCCAAGCTCTATTTGTGTGTGTGTGCCTTATTTATTTTTATTTAGGTATAAATTACATACGATAAGATACACTCAAGCTCTACTTTGATGGGTTCTATGAAGACATTTAGAGAAATACTAGAGGCCACACATTGTTTTCAAACTTCCCCGTCTTATCAGTGGATTCCCATTTTCCCCCAGAGGTTTTAACTGGGTCACTGTAATTATGGTTTTAACATTTCATTGTGATATATTTGTAACTATCTTTTATTTTCAGTATTCTGAACATTTAAAATGTGCATGATAGAGATATTAGATGGTAGAATTTCATTTTCAATTTGGAAATGGAATTTTGTCTTAAACTTTGCCTATACCTTCCATCTTCGCATCTATCCTCTGCTAGGTCCAAGAGGCTCTAATTGAGTTTTCTCTGAGACCTCCTCCACCTGCCCACCTGGCTCTTTATTTATTTATTTTTATTCAAGATGGGGTCTTGCCATGTTGCCCAGGCTTGTCTTGAATTCCAGAGCTCAAATGATCCTCTCACCTCGGCCTCCCAAAGTGCTGGGATTAAAGGCATGAGCCACTGTGTCGGGCCTCACCTGGCTCTTTAATCTTGGCTTCTCTCCCACCCTTGCTCGCCTCCCAGTTTATACCCATGGTACTCTCATCTTTGTTTTTGAGGCTTGTATCTGACTAATTCTCCTTCCACTAGAGGCCGTAAGGATTTTGTATCTTTGAAACAGTTTTTATTTTTCTATCAATTTAAAGTGAAGTGAATGGTGAATCTTGTAAGCTATGATTTCATTCAAGAGGCATTTTTGTTATTAGAGGAACTGTAAGTATAGAAATTCTTAGTGGGCCATTACTCTGGAAGAGTAGTGCAATTATTTTGGATATGCTTTGACCCTATAAAGTCACTAGCATATAAAGTTACTTTAGGGCTGCATGCAGTGGCTCACGCCTGTAATTCCAGCACTTTGGGAGGCCGAAGCAGGCAAATTGTTTGAGGTCAGGAGTTTGAGACCAGCCTGGCCAAGGTGGTGAAACCTCGTCTCTACAAAAAATACAAAAATTAGCCAGGCATAGTGGCACACGCCTGTAGTCCCAGCTACTTGGGAGGCTGAGGCAGGAGAATCGCTTGAATCCAGTAGGCGGAGGCTGCAGTGAGCTGAGATGATGGCACCACTGTACTCCAGCCTGGGCAACAGAGCAAGACTCCATCTCAGAAAAAAAAAAAAAAGTCTTTTTCCAGAGAACAGCATAAAACAACTCTCTCTCTCTCTCTATATGTCGTATTGATGGGTTAAGATACAAAACAAGTAGATTGTGTGTGCGTGTGTGTGTGTGTATTTTTAACTGCTATGAATCACATAAAAGATGATGCCCAGCTGCTTTCCACCCCTACTGTGAAGAGAATGAGAGAGGTGTAAGAAGCAGTGTGTGAACATTTAAGGTTAGGTATGAGGGGATGTTTCTTGAGCACGAAGTGCTAAATATAATATTGAATTGCCGAAGAAGGTTGTAGGATCTCTTTCTCTAGAGGTTTTAAAAATAGATTCATCCCTTACCTCTGAGAGAGGTTACCAGAAATCAGAGGAAGAATAGATGAAATTAAGCCTTAATCCCATTCCTCAAAACAACCTGGGTCTAACATTGTGCAAAGGACACTTCTGGCCACCGTTCTCAGGGCCTCCCTTCCTCCCTGCCTGTACCCCCAACTTCCAAGGGCAACTTACACTATATTTATTTCTCTGCTTTTATCCCCAAGAGTAAACCTCTGACCCTTCCAGGTCCTGCTCGGGAACCTTCTTACTTGTTTGTAAATGTTTTCTTGTAATGATATCATTGGGACAGATGGGCACAGCATTTACATCTGTATTTTGCTTGTTTATCAGTGTGTTTTTTGCTGTGACACAATGTAAATATGCTCCCTGTGTTGTTCATGGTGGACCGTGTTCTCCTGGTCTGCCTTGTTGAGTGCTACTCGGAGCAAGGACACCCTCGCTGGACAGGAACTTTGCTCACCCACTGAATCTAGACCTTGTTAGTGGAACTTTAGTTCTCAGTAGAGATTAAATATTATCTGGACACTTGGATAGCATCTTCTCATGTCCCTGCTGACTGCAGAAAAGTGATGATACCATTGTCCAGATTCTTTGTTAATGGGGAAAATTGGGAAGAAAGGATAAATATATTATTTTAACTGTTAAAACACTTTCTTTTCTTCCTTTTTTTTTTTTTTTTGAGACAGAGTCTCACTCTGTTGCCCAGGTTGGAGTGCAGTGGCCCGATCTCAGCTCACTGCAACCTCCACTTCCTGGGTTCACACAATTCTCCCACCTCGGCCTCCCAAGTAGCTGGGATTACAGGCATGCACCACCCTGCCTCGCTAATTTTTGTATTTTTAGTAAGCGCGGGGTTTCACCATGTTGACCAGGCTGGTCTCAAACACCTGACCTCAGGTGATCTGCCCACCTGGGCTTCTTAAAGTGGTGGGATTACAGATGTGAGCCACTGCGCCCGGCCTAAAACATTTTCATTTAGTTTGAAATATAATGGGGACAAGCAGAATTTTTTTTCCTCAGCTATTTTACCTTTGCCTCTACTATCTGATGCATATATATGGGTTAGGGTGTGCAATGTTTTGTAGACTATTTTCTTCAGGTTGTTTGAATTTTTTTTCAGCCATGGATTTTATCCAAATGAAGTTTAATCGGGATCAATTATCTCCCACAGGTAATCCAGGGGACCACAACTTTGCTGCCTCAGTGGGACAAATGTGTAAACTTTATTGAAAGTGCCCTCCCTTATGTTGTTGGAAAGATGTTTGTAGATGTGCACTTCCAGGAAGATAAGAAGGAAATGGTAAGTGGTGCACCCCAGCTAGCAAACAATAATGACAATTTAGCCAGATCTGAAAAGGGTATATTCAGCAGCCTAATGTCAGCCTTCCAGGGGGTAGGGGCCTGTGGATATTGTCTTCAGATTCTTTCAACTTCTAAGTGAAATAGGAAGAAAGGTCATCAAATGAGAGTGAGGATGAGTTAGCAAGTATTGAAGGTTAGAGGAGAGAGAAGGTGTGTAGTTGTCCAGGGGACTGGGCGAGTGAATAAACTGAGGGAATGTAGTGTAGCTGCTTGAAGGCGGCATGTCCAGTTGTAGGTGAGGTTCGAGGTCATGAATTCAAAGAGGGTCTCATCACTGTGGCAACGTGTTCTTCCCCATCTGTTTCAACTGCACTGGAGGAAAAGATGTGTTTTTTTTCTTTCGGCTTTACTGAGGTACATTTGACTAATAACAATTGTATATATTCGAAGTATACGGCCGGGTGCAGTGGCTCACACCTGTAATCCCAGCACTTTGGGAGGCCAAGCTGGGCAGATGACTCGAGGTCAGGAGTTTGAGGCCTGCCTGGCCAACATGGTAAAACCCCCCATCTCTACTAAAACAATACAAAAATTATCTGGGCGTGGTGGCGGGCACCTGTAATCCCAGCTACTTGGGAGGCTGAGGCAGGAGAATCGCTTGAACCCAGGAGGCGGAGGTTGCAGTGAGCCGAGATGGTGCCACTGCCCTTCAGCCCAGGCGACAGAGCGAGACTCTGTCTCAAAAGAAACACAAACAAAGTATACAACATGATGATTTGACATACATTGTGAAATGGTTGCCACAATTAAATGAACACATCTGTTGTCACACTTATTTACCATTGTGTGTGTGTGTGTGTGTGGCGGGGGGAGGGGGTGTGAGGACACTTGAGATTTACTGTCTTAGCAAATTCAAGTATACAATACATAATTAGTAACTATAGTCACCATGCCATATTTTAGATCCCCAGAACTTATTCATCGTAGAACTTTGTACCCTTTGATCAATATCTCCCCATTTCCCTGCCACCAGCCCCTGGCAACTACTGTTCTACTCTCTGCTTCTATATTTTAACTTTTATAAAAATTCTACATATAAGTGAGATCATATAATATTTGTCTTTCTGTGTCTGGCTTATTTCACTTAGCATAATATCCTCTAGCTTTATCTATGTTGTTGCAAAAGGCAGGATTTTCTTCGTTACTTCATTTTTGTGGCCGAATATTCCATTCACAAAATGTGAATACATCACATTTTCATTGTGTATTTATCCATTGAAGGGTGTTTAGGTTTATTCTATATCTTAGCTGTTATGAATAATGCTGCAATGAACATGAAGGTGCAGATCTTTCTTCCATATACTGATTTTACTTACTTTGGATATATACCCAGTAGTGGGATGGCTGGATTGAATGGTAGTCCTATTTTTAATTTTTTGAAGATTTTCCATGCTATTTCCATAATGGCTGTACCAGTTTACATTCTTACCAACAGCATATGAGCATTCCCTTTTTTTCCAGAAATACCTTGCCAAAACTTACCTCTTAAATTTTTGATCAGAGCCATCCTAACAGATAGTGAAGTGGTATTTCATTATGGTTTGATTTGCATTTCCCTGATGATTAGTGATGAAAACCTTTTCATAAACCTGCTGACTGTTTATGTGTCTTCTCTGGAAAAATGTCTATTCAGATCTTTTGCCTATTTTTTAATCAGGTTGTTTTTTCGCTATTGAGAGGGTGTATTTTGAATTAGGAATTTGGATTTGGCCAGGTTTTTTGTCTGCATTTTATTTTTGATGAATTATATTTTACAAATGTCATGAAGTAAAAGATCCAGGCATGATTAATAACAATCCATGTAGTCAATCAGATACAAATATATGAGCAGCTTGGGTGCAGGTTGGTCAATAAACATTGAATTTAAGGGCAAAGGCGTTGTAATGTCATGATTGTTCAAATGATTGGTGTCATGTAGTGATACATAATAATACCAAATGGTTGGTATTATGTGTCAGTACATAGTCATTATTGCTACATAATACATGATTATGTTTTATGCACTGAAGTTTGCTTTGCAATACCATATCTAAGTACATTTGTGGCAGGCCAGGTCTCACTAACATAGGCCTCCATCACAACTGTCCCAGCACGAACTGAGTAGCTAGGTTAAACATTAAAAGCTGATTGAGCCAGTGCCCATATACAAAGGCTGGAATGTAACAGAGAGCCCACCAAGAGTTTTGTCTAGGCTTTTCCTGGGCCTTGAAGTGTGACAAGATAATGAATGAATTATTAACAGGACCCTTTTAGGATTAAACAAGTTTTATTGGGGGTCTGAAGAAACTCCCCAGGCCTCCACAAACAAGTTTATTGGCGTCTAAAGGAACTCCCCAAACCTTTATGATTAGTAGGAGACAAGATAAGGGTAATCACCCCAGCACCTAGATCCGTTTAGATTAAGTAAACTTACTGAGGCTCCAGAAGAAGGTCTTCGAGACTCAGACCTAGTTATAGATTAAAAGAAGTTTATCACTTAGGTCTTTCGACAAATGCACACTTACACGTAGACATATAGTTTAGAAGGTATATGAGCTCTAGAAAACTTTGTAATTTTGAGTTGGTCTGGTGATAATTTCCAGGCTTTCTTCCTGTAACCAGTGGCAGAAAATAAAACTCTCTTCTTCCCCAGTTCATTTGCATCTCATTATTGGGCTGTGAGAAATACCAGCCTGACTCTCAGTTTGGTCTGGGAACAAATTGGCCTATGTTAACTTGTTTTTACTGTCTAAGTAGGAGACTTTATGTTTGAACCTGAAAGTTCTCTTGCAAACAATTCCACTGAAGAATTAATGGCTTATTTCAAAATACTCGATATTCTCATTGCATGTTTTCTTTTGCTCCTTGGTCAGAGTAAATAGTTTGAGATCTTATCAGATAATCACAGTGGTAATATTATAAGCTCTGGGAAGGCTGTAAAAACAAAGGATAAAGAAAGATTTAAAAAATTATAGCAGGAGGTTTTTTGGCAGTAGAAGAATTTTAACTAATATGAAAAGTATGTGGATTAAACTTGTTTTCCTCAGTTTTGGTGTGAAAGTCCCTTTTCCTTGTGTCAGGGTGTGACATTCTAAAGTAAAGTTGATTTTGGCAATCTCCCCCCTGATTCTGATGTATTTTGATGTACATGGGGGTAGTGTGGTAGTTAGGCAGATACTCATCTCTTTAATGTAAAATTATTTGCGTCCCTTGTGCTGAAGCTGTTTGCCTCAGGGAATACTTAAGTTGGAAACTTACAAGAGAATGATCTGGCCTTTTATAGCCTTTTTTTTTTACAGGGCTTCTATCCAAGAACCACCTGGAACCACTGATTTACTTGAAAAACATTCAGTATTATTAGCTACAGTCTAAAGAAAAAGAAAAACAGAAAGATCCCCAAAGGGGCAAATTCCAAAGACCCTAACTCAGATGGAAGTCTGCCATTGTTTATTTACCAAAAAAGTCTGTTAAGCAAATGAATACAGTCAGAAGCTTAAACTTCAGGTATGTCTCAAATTTACATGTGTACACAAATCACATGAGCATCTGCTTGTTAAAATGCAGATTCTCATTGCATTTTAACAAGGTTTGTTTTGTTTTTAAAGTTTTTATTTGGGATAGGACCCAAGAATTTGCCTAACAAGGTTCCAGGTGCGACTGCTGCTGCTGGTCGCGGACCACACTTGGAGCAGCAAGGTCTTCTCATGATTCATTTGTTTGTAAACAGCACCAAAAAAGAAAAAAAAAAAAAGCCCTGGTGACTCACAAGAGCAGGCCAGGCCAGGCCAGTTGACGTGAATAGCAATACTTAATTTACCAAATCTGGTTGCGTTAGTGCAGGTAACTGCTTTAAATTTCAGATCATTGAAAGTTTCTGTAATTCAGATTGGTTTAAATGGACTGTGAAAAACCCTGCCTTAGGACCTCCAGGCTTAGTTCCCCACCAACTATGTAGTTATCTTTTGAAAACTGATACCTGGGTTTTACTAAGAGACTCCCGCCCCACTTCTCCTCCGTATCTCTGTTTCTAGAACCTCTTGATGGCAGAGTTGGCCCAACTGCCTGTGGTTGGCACCCTTTGTTCTAGAGAGTGAGTAGGAGATAGCAGTTCACATTGAGGTTTCCTACCTATCAGGGTTCTCCTCTTTTTCACTGGGGAAAACACATAATTCTACATTACTGTTTCGTTAAGACTTCCCACATCCAAGTGTGCATTTGGACACACTGATACACCAACACTCTCATACTCATTCACACACGTAACCATGGGAATTTAGCAAATTTAATTAGAAATGAGAAGAATAACATGTAGAAAAGGAGAGTCCTTCAACAGAAAGCCACCAAAAGAGGTTATATAGTACATTCCCTTGCCATCCAGCTAGTGGGACAGAGCATTAACTCATGTGGGATTGGCTGCAAATGTTGCTTTGTCTTTGCAGTCCAAAATAGCACTATCCAATTGAACTAGAATATGAGCCACACTTGTTTTTTTTGAGGTAGGGTCTCACTCTGTTGACCAGGCTGGAGTGCAGTGGCATGATCTCGGCTCACTGCCACCTCCGCCTCCTGGGTTTAAGGGATGCTCCTGCCTCAGCCTCCTGAGTAGCTGGGATTACAGACATCTGTCAACATGCCTGGCTAATTTCTGTATTTTTGGTAGAGGTTGGGTTTCATCATGTTGGCCAGGCTGGTCTCAAACTCCTGACCTCAAGTGAGCCGCCCGCCTAAGCCTCCCAAAATGCTGAGATTATAGGCGTGAGTCACCACACCCAGCCCACATATGTAATTTTAAATTTTCTAGTAGCCACAATAAAAAAGTGAAAGAACACAAGTGAAATTAATTTTAATAATATATTTTGTTTAATCCAGTTTATCTAAAATATTGTCATTTCAACACATAATTAATATAAAATTACTAATATGAGGCCAGGCATGGTGGCTCGCACCTGTAATCCTAGT